CCTCCCCCCCAAAAAAAAAAAAAGAGAGAGAGAGATGCCTTCATTCAGCCAGGACTTATGAGTTTGATGCAGGAGTCACTGGCTGAAATTCTGTAGCTTGTATTATTCAGGGGGTCAAACTATTTCATCATGATGATCTCTTTTGACCCTGGAATGCATGAATCTGTGCATTGCAATATGACTGCATGTTAAATAACGGAAGAGGTAATAAAATGAAATGCACAAAGGACCAATTTACTTTGCAACTTTGTAAGCTGCAAAGCTAGAATATAGTTCTATGCTGTGGCATATGATTACGAGGTAGCGATAAATCTGGTAAGTGTTAAGGTGTCCAGGTGGCTGTGTGGAAAGATCGATTAGCTCTTTGCCCCCTCCAGCTTCTCAATTATTCCTAGTAAAATAACACATTTGTTCACCCATCCCCTGTATAGTGGATACCGTAGTGTTGCTGTGTGTTGGGCATAGGTGGATGCAGATCTCGGTGCCCCAAGACTGTCTGTTCCCCTTCCAGATGCTGTGTACGATGTCATCACCGTGGGAGCTCCAGCTGCGCACTGCCAGGGATTTAAGAATGGTGGTCTCCGGAAACTGCTGAGTAAATTTGAGGCAGAACGGCGAAAGTAAGTATTTTTGGAAGTAACGAGGAAAATACAAGTAAAGTTGCATTGATGTGTTACATGCTCACTGAAACAGTTTATCTTCCATGCATTTGGCAATAGAAAATCTAGTAAGATTGGACAAGAATTCATTCATAAAATAGTTCCTTTATCTTTCCTATTTTGCTAGACTGCAAATTTGAAGAACTATCTATTTTTAATGGCAATAGTTATTTTGGACGTGAACAAAATTGTGATGTTTTCCTGCTGTGTTCTGTGGAGCTGAAGAATACCTGTGCTTGAAAACATGCTGTTCAAAATGAGATATCTCTTCTGCAGTACTTGTGCTAAGTAGAAAGTATCTACAGACAATTTTTCAATAGACAAAGAGTAGCTCGGGGTAGCATCTTCATGCTTAACAGCCCTGTGAAGTAGATAAGAAAATGTTAATTTTCTTATTCTTCAGAAAGTCAAAATAAGACTAAGAAATGACAAAGGCCTTAACTAGGGTTTTGGTTCAGCACTATGCTCCAAAAAATGCTTAAAGTTAAGTGCTAAACTTACACTAAAGTGTTAGTTGCACATTTTGTTAACTAAGCATTGGACATGTATATTTATTGCTATGACTGTTCAGAAGTTTTAAGCAGCCAAAACAGTCACTGACCACACCGGGACCTGTGACTGCTCCACACTTGGTCTAACTGTGCCAAACTCAGGCAGTCGATGGCAAAGTTTTTGGATGGGAAGGCGGGAAGTACTGTATGTATGGTAGGCTTACTCCTTATGACTCCCGATGGAAAATCAGTTCTGTTATGTTAAATGCTCAAAGTTTCATAGGCAGAATATGATACAGAATAAAAGGGGAGATTATAAAAATGTAGTATTGACTTCTAGGTTGAGTAGAAGTTGGCATTAACCCCTCAGCGATATAGTTTGCATTTTCTCAAATCATTTTTCAGTGGAAAAGGTATTCTTTATTGTTTGCTCATACCACTCTGCAGCCATGGAAATAAAAGGAAATCAAAATAGTTTATAAAACCTGAAGAAATGGTTACTCAGTCTATGAATTCCCATAAATTAGAAAGGAGGGAACCTCCAAAATTCACCTTCCCATCTAGCTTAGAGGGCACGTGCATTTTTGTTGTCTCTGGACCCATGCAAGCCCTTCCAGTGGAAGGGATAAAGCAGGCTCTGAATATGATCTCACTTACTTGAATATTCAGGAGTGGGAGTGTGTTAAATAAATACTTGAAAGCACCGTTCTCGTTCTTGCCGCAGAGAGATTTCTTTCACTGCGGCAATGACAACTTTATTTTGTATGCACCTGTTTGTTTAACTGCATGCGGATGCTTTGAGGCCCTTTAGCATTTCCAGGGGCAGGTTTTACAATTTAAATTTGCTGTTTTACAGTGGGACCAGCTCTTTTTTTGGAAGCTTTGGATGAAGGAAGAAGTGACACCTTGAGATATCAGTCAGAATATAAAGTGAACAGGAGAAAAAATGCAGATTTAGCATCTGTTTCCTCTAGGCTAACTGATCTGAAAACCCAAAGAAAGATGTGGGAAGAGATTATTTTTCAAGCCAATCTGGGAAGGTCCCAGTAGCTTTGTCATACACATTGACTATGATGTCTTGAATATCTTGCATGCCTTTGAGGCTCAGGCTCATTATTAAAACAATTTATTGAAGTATTCACAGCGTCAGTGTATCAGAAAACATACCTTGCTTCAAATGGGTGTCCTTACTTTGCTCAAACCTATACTTGTGGAATTAGCAGATAGGAGGAAACGTTAACTGGTAAGCATTGTTATACACCACTTTTCAAGAGCATAATTGCATTTGCAGTTGCCAAACCAAAAGCAGTGGTATGTTTTGAGAAAATTTGGCCATCAGAAGCGTGCGTGATGATAGATTTAGCAGTTTGAAGATAAGTCAGAAACATTTGCAATTATGCAGAATATATTTTTTGTGCAGAGGAAAGAAAGTACAATAATATTTATAAAAACTGCAGTATTTTTGCAGCTGCTTTTTCATTTGTTGCCAGCAAGCATGCCATTTATATATATATATATATAGATATAGATATATATAGAAAGAGAGAGAGAGAGAGCGCGCAAACTCCTGAAGATAGGGTCTTGAACAAGAGGATAAGAGGAAAAGGTTTCTTTTAGTTAAAAAAAAGACTTACTGGAATGTTATCTCAAGTCAGGTCCATTGATTTATAACCCATTCACATTCCATACAATTCTTTATGTGCAAAAAAGTGGTAGATAAAGGGCTTTACCACTACAAACGTCAACCATGTCTTTGGTATATGTGTCCCTTTAGTAGCAAACTTCATAAGACCAGTAAGAACAATTATGATGCCTTTTATTTTTTTTATTTTTTAAGTTTGTTTAGACGTGATGGCATTTAAATCCAAATTGTTGAAGTGTGCTGTTTATGATATGGTAATTGCAGAATATTACCTATATGCTACATACATTTATTTTAGGTTTTTTCATGATGCTGCAGTGGTTTGTCCTTTCCCCTCCTTATTTCTAGCTAAAAGACAAAGTAAATCGGTTGTTCAAATTTGGTCTTCTGTTCACCTGCTAGTATGGATTACTTCTCCTTCCAGCAAATGGGCGAACTTGTCTTCTCATCAGTGTAGATAGCACAACAAATTTATATACAAAATAGTTCAGCTATGCAGGAACGTTGAAGTCAGACATTCTGCAAGTTATACAATGCCTCACTGCTTTAAATTTCATATATCACTTTCAAGGTACACCAAGGACTTACTCTCTTATTTTAAACCTAATTTGATTATTTGTCCTTTAGCCATGTAGGCTTATGAGGACAAGTTTTTTCATGCCATAGTACTACCATGAAGAAAAGCAGGGGCATCCTAGAAGCTGCATTAGGTGCTGTGATTCACTGTGGTTTTGTATACCATTTTTTTAACAACCTCTTTAGAAATACTCGTGTAATTAGCACAAGCTGAAAGATGAAATAGTGCTGAAAAGAGTTTTTTAAGCTGTAATAATTTAATTTGGGTTCGAATTGTCTAAAAGGACTCGTTTTTGTTTGAGGTCTAGATCTTTGCTCAAGGTGAGAGAGGTGCTTCTTCACTAATGTACTCATTACTAGAGATTTCATTAAAGCTGAGATCTACAGGGTTCCTATTACCTGACTTTCATAACCTTCAATCCATTTCCATTCTCTAAGGAACCTGAAATGGTACTATTTCACAGGAAAGCCCAGAAATGTTGAAATAATAATGATTTGTGTATGATTTAATTGTAGCGTTTATTCTCAAACGGAAATCACAGCCTGTCATGCACAGCACTTCTCAGGGAGATGTCATTCTTTGCTCCTTTCCCTGTGTGTGTGTGTGAGAGAGAGATTAGAAATCATGAAGATGAATGTTTTTGCACTGACCATAAAATCAATGTATTAAGGTTGTTGGAAGTTGCACTGGGAAACTGCAGCAATTTGTTTACTATTTGTTTGATATATAAAAATCTCATTGCAGTATTTTTCCAGGCGCTAGATTCTCTGGACAGAATTATCTGAAGCGTTTCCTTGAGCATGCCTTAAAGAAAGGGGCTGAGGCTGGGCAAGGAAGGGGTTTAGGGGAATTTTGCAAGCGCAGCTGTTAGAAAGGATTGTCCTTTGGAGAGCAAGAAACCGTCCTATCTGCAAGGCCTCTGGGAGTGACGGGAGGAAGGGGGACCCCGACTTTGCCATACTTTCTTCACGGGCAGAAAGAGGAGGCCTACGCTCTTGCTTTCTAAACCTTGTTGCGGTACCTGCCGTCAGCCTGACCTAACATGCGCTGCAGCAACTTGCCAGCCACAGGCTCCGTCTGAAGGCACCAGTTAGCTTCAGGCTAGTGGTGAGGCACAAACTCTTTTTTTCTTCTGCTAAGAGCTGTGCTCAGTTACCAGGAATAAGATTCTCCTGTATGTTAAAGGTTACTTGGCTCTTTCCACCAGTGCAAAGAAACCCTAAAATTAATTTGAAAAGCTGCAGGCGGCTTTCCCAAGCATTCCCCCTTCCTAGGGGACAATCTTCTTAAGAAGATTCGCTATAGCTCTGTATCCTGTGCAGGTCTGAAGACGACTGCTGAAGGGCACCTTGACCCTTTTTTTCACTGAAACTTATGTTGTATTATCAGCTGAAGGTATTGATACTGAGCTATTCCAGGGGTCACCTAGGAAATAAGAGGAAATGGGAGGGGTAGCATGACAAGCTCTGTGTGTACAGCCTTGGCCCTTGCTTGAGGATAGGGATTCGTGGAGACTCAGACTTCATAAACAGAGATAGACTAGATAGAACCGATAATATAACTTCTCTTTCTTCAGTAGTCAAAGTTATTCACATTTCAAGGGAGACTTAAGGGAATATAAAAATTCAGTGAAACTTCTGTGCCTAGCTCCTTTGGGCCTGCTTTTCAAATGCCAGCACTGATCTTAGGGTTCAGCTTTATTTCCTGATGCAGGGAATCAGCTGTGCTATTTGTGGGGAGCTGCTCTTGCTGCATGCGCCTTAACTGCATTCTGGATGTTAATGTCCACAGTTATTACTGTGAAAAACACTAGGTCAAATGTTCACTGTTGAACAATTTTAACCCAGTCCCAGATGGTGACAATTTAACTCAGTCACACAAATGACTCAATTAACAGCAGGAGCGGAGTTACTCTGAGTGTCATTAAAAATTAGACACTTAGCATATTGCAGTATTTATTCTCATGCAAAAACTTTGTTAATTCAAAGTTAAAATTGCAGATGTAATCAATGTAATCTTTATTCAAATTACATGGCAATGCCATTAAAGCAATTTTCAAACTGAAATGACCACTGAAGGTAAAGTGTACATAGTTAATGATGGTACCAGTATCTAGACTATATGCTCAGTGAAAAATTTGAAAGTTGACCCAGAAGGCATAATTATAGACTCTTTCAAAAGATACATAACTAACAATACCTTTCACATATCAAGGGTAAGTTTTCATAATGCTGCTGATTTCACGCATGGGACCTGCCCATGTTGCCTTTACCCTAGTGCAAAAGTTTCTTATCTGTAATTCCCTTCATTTGGCTTATACGTTAGGACACCTTTTTAAAAAAAAAAAAAAAAGACTCCATCCTTTTTATGAACAGCTTCTTCCTTTTAAATAATATGACTCGTGCCATAGCTATATGTGGCAGCAAGTTCTGAAAAATACTTGTTTATAAGGAAATTCATTTAAGTGAATTTGGAAGTATTAATGGCTTTTCATGAAAAATAAAGGCCACAGAAAATCCCAGACTAATCTGAGATGCAACAGTATAGAGATACAATGTTAGTGGAAACTTCAGATATCCCCAAGCATTTTATCTCTGAAAATTAATTACTCAGTTTCTTTGGAAATGTACTCAAAAGAACAACTAGAACAACTTTTAGTTGCCCTCAAATTCTGAAACAAACTGAATATTTGGAGCTATCTGATGTTTTCTGGGATTCAGGAGATGGTAACGTTAGCCAAAGAGTGAGGCCTGATAGAAACATTTTTCTTTTTTTTCCTTCCCTCTCTAGAAAACTTGTCATTCTGAAGAAAGAGTCATTCCATCTTCATAATATCCTTTATTTAAAAGCTACGATAGACTTTATTAAAATGAGAACTACCCAGAGAGTTAGTATCGCTCTCCTTCTTTGTTTTCTTATAGTGTTGTCTGTAGCTTTTCTCCTGTAGTATGTACTGGAGCTTAGAGCTGTGAGATAGGTGGAAAGATCTGGGGAATTAAACGTTGAGGGGAAATGCCAGAGACGGGTATGTACGCAGTGAGCTTGACAGAGCGTTAGCCAAATTCAGCCTGCAAAAGGCACTCCTTGATAAAGGCGGGGAGAAGGCTGCAGGAGGATTTAGACAAGCCTCACTTGAGGCTGTGAAGTATCAAGACTTTAACTGTAGTGAAGACGCCCTGAAATGTAGGGTATTACTTGGACGTTGTCACTGCTCCATCTACAGGGGCTACAGAAGCAACTGGGGAGTTTATAGGCTGCTATGTCATTGGTAATGTCCCAGGAGCTGGTTGGTTACGTAATTGAAAAAATACTAATACTTACAAGATGCAGCTCACTCGGCCTTTCATGTACAGCCTGTTGGAATTGTCTGACATCTGCCCTCTTTCAATCCGCAAGTTCATTAGGTCCCTCCACACCTGCCTCTTGAGCTTTCCATTGAGTGGTTAGCAAAGTGAAGCTGAGTTAAAGTAGTGTATAAACTTCCTGCTGCACCTCTGACCCGGAGTGCAAAGCCATAAAACAGAACCGAGGTCTAGTACATTGTCCTTCTTTTCTGTATTAACATTACAGTCTAAAACTGCAAAAGATTTGGGTTAGTTTCTCTGAAGGAGTGAAGCAGGGCTTTATAAAGGGAAGGGCTGTGTACAAGAGTTTTAAGTGGGAAGATGTGTATTGCAGCAAAGAGCTAGTAAGCATGCACGCTGTTTAAAAATGGTGTTTTGGCATAACAGAATTAAAGGTATTGCTTAGCTATTAAGCATTGGAAAAGAAACAAGGGATGCATTTTCAAAAGGAGTAATTGCCATGCAAATATAAGTGCAGTAGTTTGTGAACAGTTTAAAAGAAAGAAGCAAGTTTGCAGTATTCATTGGAGTGTTTTTGTATTAATTAACTTTTTATTTCCTTCCAACACACCGTTTCTGTGTCCTTTCTTGCAAATTAGGTGTGTGACTTTTATTGGAAATAACTCTGGTTACCGTCACTTCCTGGACAGGTCACTGATGCTGATCAAAACATCTTACAGGCCATTGATCAATATAGTGATGGATGAGCTATTTTGGAGGGCTTCATGAAATAGTTGTTAATGGGACAGCAGAGTTCGGATGGAATAGAGTCTTACGCTCTTTGTCATTGTTATATGACTTGGTTAAACCTTTGCTTTCTTCAAAATTATATTAAAAAAATATTAAAAATCCATTTTAAGATCAATGATGCAGTGCACCGAAAGGATAATTAACTTGAACGGTACTACTTGAAGTGTTCATTGGTGGGCAGCCTACTGTCCTCAGATATTTAAGCAAGTACTTGTTTTTACCCTGAGAGGAAGAAACTTCAGTAAAGTTCACATATCTTGCCATTCTTGCAATATCAGTGGCAAAAATTTTAGTACATTAAGCATTCTTATTAATAGCAGAAACCATTTTGACATTATGCAATCATTTCTCTGTTATTATAGTACTGGATACCAGTGTATTTATTATTCACCTGAAAACACAGCCAAGGCAAAAGAAGTTCTCAGCAACATCAATCATCTACAACCTCTCATATCAAGCCATGCAGACCTGCTGCTTAATTCTGCACGCCAGCGTTCTCCAGACAGCTTGAAGAACTCTTTAAAGATGCTTTCAGAAAAAGTAAGATTCAAATCTTCACTGCAATGGAAAATGGAATAACCAAATCCCTAACTGCTGTTTTTTCTGCGTAAATTGACTTTCATAGCATAGGAAATGTTGTATATGCTATGTTAAAATAAGCTCCAAAATGTTGCCATTGGAAAAAAGAGTACGATTTAGCCTTTTTTTAGGCTTTCTGTGTACAAAATAATGAAGCTTACAGATCTAGGGTTGTCCTTATTTGAAAGTATAATTAATTTTATTTCATGTGCCTTTGTTATCCTCTAGTGCTCACATAGTGGTGTTTATCAGAAATAGATTATTATACCTTTTGTGGGGTGATAAACTATTATTTTCTTTCTCTTTCTGTGATACTTCTTACTACTTCAAACTACTGCTTATAGGAGATAATTCAAGCTAGCCTTATGCGTAAGGTTTAGAATAGTAGCATGACCAGAAATGACAATGCAGTCTGGAGGAGGAAGCTTGAAAGTTGGAGCCAGGAGGTCTCAAATTTTAATCCTTCATCTATAATCTTCCTCTGTAGCTATAGGCACTTTCTTGTCTTAGTTTGCTTAGCTCTAAATTAAGAAAGATATCTCCCACCTGTCTCACAGAGTGATTTTGAGGATTAGTTAAAGCCTGTCAAGTACTTCTAAGCATATGTTATCCTATGAAAATATTAAGCACAATAAATATGACCAGAAGGCTTGAAAAAGTTTCCCATCGCTTCATACGCCATACGTTCTATCATGTGATCTCAATACGACTTAATAACACTATCAATAATCATATTCAGTGTATCTTCAGCTTCTGGGAAGTGGCAACCCCTGTGGTCTGCTGAGCAATACTATCCCAGCAGAGCCTCAAATCTGAGCATTGAGGTCAGCTGCACACTGTGAAGGCTTTGCATTGACACCATGGGGGAGCCAAATGTTGCTTTCGGTTAAAGGTGTGTAAATCCACAGTAACTTGGGGAACAGTTGAGTTGCTGTGACTGTCAGTGGTATATAGGAAAGTAGAATTCACGTGGAAATAAAAGGGAGGAGTTTTGTTCTATTTTGTTGCAATTGTAGACCACCTTTTCATGCAGTACTGGGGAAGGCCGTCTTTTGCTGCCCATTGGAAAGGTAGAGCCACTTTGTTCAACGAAAATGTATGCACAAGTAAAGTAAAACAGACTTGTTCTGGAGGATCAGGACCCCATTGCTAAGAAGTTTGTGTTGGCGGTAGCCAGGTGCCCTGCCCGTGCCACCAGTGCCCATTTGAGAGGAGGAATGTGACGCTAACCCTGCTTGGACAACGGGCCACTGGAGAGTCTGACTGCAAAAAAGGCCCAGGGAAGACAACCTTAGGTGTTTGAAAAACTCACAAATACTTTACATTTATAGATGTGGTTTTAGTTGTATATGTTCTTACTGACTTTCCAGGGCCAGGATTCAACTGCTGGTTAGTATAGGAGCAGAGGTTCCCAGGAGCAGAAGTGGTGGTCTCGCCCTAGGCAGTCCAGCAGGCAGCCCGGAGCTTTTGTCCAGCCTCCCCCTTTTTGCTCGGAAGAGACAAGTCCCGTTGTGTGAGCAACAGCGGCTGTGCGAGCGGTTGAATGCCCGCTTGCCTGCCGACCCCTGCCTTTACACCGAGGGGAGGGAGGTTCCTGGGAAGGGGTTCATTGCTGAGGAGGATGGTGTGGAGGGGTGGCTGCATGCAAGAAAGGGAAGAGAGTTGGGGAGGAATTAAAAGATCAAGGAACAGCTTCAGGGAAGGGAGAAAATAATTTCAAAAACCCCACATGGTGCTGCGGCTAGGTCCCTCGAGGTTAGTACAAAGTATCATTTCAGGACCCGAAAGTAATGTTAGATTCCTCAATTTTAACACATAGCACCACTACCCCACAGTTATCTGTCCATCTGTCCAGTCTGATAGATACCAGGACTAGCAGGGAGTTCACGATTGGATTTAAGATGTGTTCGCGTACTCTTGTAGGTAAAATTACATGATGCCGACCTGTATCCTTGAGGCATATCAGATACTTCTGCTCTCACACCTTTTGAGAACTTTTATTACATAAAGAAGAGATGTTCTTTTGCATTTTAACGTCATATAAATTTTGAAATTAAACAGCTATTTGAAGAAATTGGAGTTAATGATTTGCCTGGTGATGAAATTTCTCTAGTTGGTTAGAAAAGCATATTGTTTAGCTTTTTTATTTTAAGATTGGATTGAACCTGATATATAGCGTGGTTCTTTCTAAAATCGTTAGGGTAGTAGTAAGTCTATCTGAGCCATACAAGATGTGAATTGCAATTAAAACAAATATTTTGTTAGAGATGGAAGGGCAGGCTGCATGCATTGAAAATTAAATCAAATAATTCCACTGCTGCTTATTTTTTCTTTCATATTGGGCATAGTTTTACTTCTCCATATATGATTTGCAATTTGCTGTAGTGTTTTCCTGAGACTTTTATCAAGTTTCTGTTAATTGATTAAAGAAGCCTTTAGCTATGGACAAGTATATCAGCATTTGCAGCTTGCAGGAGGCTTGATAAATTCATTTTCTACCTATGCCTATCTTTATTTGCAGACATATTCTTTAGTCAAGTATCTAAAAGAATTTGCAACGTTTGCATTTCTTTGTATATATTTGTTTGGTGATGTCAATACAATTTTATAAATGGTGATGTTCTGCAAATTTAGCTGAATTTAGCTGCAAGAAAACGTAGTTAAAATGTAGTTTGTTGTTAAACCAATAGAATCCTTGAATGCAATTTAATTACAGAAGCGCTTTAGTCTCTATATGAAAAAATAGAGGTTCACTTCTGTGCCAGTCTGCTTCTTTAATATTTTTCCCTATACAATATTTGCATTGAAATTAAACTACTTAAACTTTTCAGATAGTTACCTAATATACATCGCAGATATAGTGGATATCTCTGACTTGAATTTATCCAGTACTTGCAACTTTCTGAAATTTAAAGCTTCTGGTGAATTTTTTCCTGTCTAATGTGGAGACTTGAGTATGCACCCTGTGGTGGCTGGAGGTGTAGGAGACTGGACTTGTCCAATTGTGCTGCTCAGGACTATCAGGGAGCAGTCCCGAAGGGCTACACATACAGAAGCCGTCTCTGTTAAAACACCCTTTTCCTCAGCCATTAAGTTAGTAAGGAGGAGGCAGAATGAGTCTGATGCTATTGCCAGAGAGAGAGGAATGATGTTGCCAAGCCCAGTTGGTGAAGACTCCCAAATCAGGTCTAAAAGAAACCCTGAGACTGATTTTAAGTCATACCTTAGATATCCTTAAGGTTCTTATTTTCAAGCGTTTTGGGTTTTATTTACTTGCATTTCTTCAAGTTTTCAGGCTTTTTCTGTGCAACCGTTATGGATCAAAAATAGCTTTTTCCTAAAAATCATGAAATCAGTGAAAAACAGAAATTTCTCATACAGCTGCCCAAGCTCAGCAGCCGGAGCTTTAAGACGACTATAAATTATTTAGACAATTATGGTCAGCAAACTTTTGAGGGGATGGAGGCAAGAAAGAAAACAAGTGCAGTAGGGGAAGAGACATATGTAAGAGGAGCAAGTACTAGCAAAAAGGGATGGGATAAGAATAGAAGGAAGGAGTGCAGAAGCTGGGAGAAAGATTTGCAGGCAGACAGAAGCTGACACTTAAGAACTTGATTTTGCTGCTGGTTCTCTTAATGGTTCTGCATGTGAAACATGGAAGGTCTGAATGAAGCTTGGCCAGGAAACCTTTCTTTCTAGCATTTCCTAGGTTTGTGTGACTGCTTGTTTAGGCTGGTCGCTCAGACTGTTATCTCCATGCTTTGCCGCGTGCCTGCTTAATTACGATGAGGAGCACAAAGGCAGTTCAGTCAGTATCTGAATCTGTGCGTGACAATCCAGTGTGGTTTAAGTAACTAGAAAGGCAACTAAATCGCGCTGGGCACAGTTGGTGCAGTGATGGCAACACCAGCGTGAGTGTGGAGTAGCAGTGCTCCGTGAAATGGCGCTCCTTGAAGGATGTAAGAGTCGGCCCATATTAAAAGCATTGGAGGAGATGATCTTCCACTGGGATGGAAGCTGGCGAGGAGCAGGTCCCATCGCTGGTAGGGAGGAAGATTGGTTTCATGCTTTACTGCATGCCTTCATTGTACTGAGGATGAATTAAAATTGGAAAGCAAGCATTTCCTGTGCTCACTGAAGCAAGTCTAGTTCTGAAGAGACCCAATATGCTGTTAAAAGGGGGATCTGCACTCCTCTCTCTCAATATTTAATATCTGTTTATTATGGGGGTTGCAGAAGCCTTTTGCATGGAGGTACAGTGAAACTAGTGTAATACTGGTTTATATGAACATCATTTGCTTATAAGATATCACACTTGATATCAAAACTTGCTTGTGGCCTGAGAATGATTTTGAAAATTAACAGTACAACAGTTTATGGTGTTACATGAAGATGGTGTCCGGAGATGCTAAAAACTGTATGCAGACAGCAGGGGTGTTACTGGTTTTGCTTTTCTTGTCTGGGGAGGGGGGGAGCAACGGGGAGAGGTTGGAGGCTTTTCAAAACCAAGAAAGGTACGCTGCCAGCTGTCACAGTCAACAAGAACAATTTAGAAAAATGAGATGGCAATTGTTGATTAAGGAAGATCTTCAGAGAGCCTGGAAAAAATTACTTCAAGGGTTCCTTTCTTTAAAACAAAGAAATAAAATAGAGCTGGAAGTCAGACATCATTGCCTGCTTTGTTATCTGGGTAGATACCTACAGTTACCATAATTTGTCCCTGAAAACACTGCTTTTGCAGATACTTTAAACTCAGCAGTGGAGTGCAGTGTGTTTTTCTTTAAGCAAGCGCTAAAATTTGTTGATCACATTTTATCTGACACTTGTTAGAAAATTCTTGAGTGGTAGCTGGGTACTCTTAAAACTGGTCCTCATAGAGACTTGTCTCTGCAGGCACGATTTGGAACTAGAATGAATACAACAAGACTGTGTAAGCAGATGATCTTTATAACAGATACTGTACCTCCGTGTTAATCCTTAGAACAATGGGATTGTAGAATATGATGATATCCCCAAACCCTTGAATTGCTCCCCATTGTTTGGTGGTTTGCTTTGCTTTCCACCTCCCAGGCTGACCCGAAACGGACATCTGCTCTGCCTAAGTATAATTCAGTGTTGTCATTTCCACCTTGCCACATTGTGCTCTTGGGCCTAATCTCCCGTTCGTTTGCTTTTTCTAGACAGAGTTATTTGTGCACGCGTTTAAGGACCAGCTGGTGAGAAGTGCCCTTCTAGCACTATACACCGCCCGGCCTGGCTGTGTCCTCAAGAAACCAGTCGTGCCCAGAAACAGCATAGAAGAAGGGGGTGATGTACAGCATCAGGATCGTCCTTCTCAGATTAAACGACAGGACTCTATACCTCATCATTCAGAGTATGACGAGGAAGAGTGGGTAAGTTGTTGGAAAATTCCTGGTGTATCAGTCACAAAACCTACAGCTTAGCTTAAGCAAATCCAAGCTCCAGTGTCTTCGTCACACCTAAGTGGAGAAAAAGGACTGAAAACTTGAAATAATATTTTTCAGATACCTCCATTGTTTTTAGAGGTACTGAAATTTCAAAAATATATACCCCTTAAAATCGAGTTAAAAGAATTTTCTGAAGTACAAGGTGCTTTTGTGCCACTGCATGGTTGTGTGTATAATGATGAAGGTGATGAATATCTTGCCCAGACAGGAAAACAGTCTTTCTTTACTCGAGTTCTTTTTACTGGTTAGGCATATTTAAGGAAACTGGAAAGACATAGGGTAAAATGAGGGGAAAAAAAATCTTCATTTTTTTGCCAAGACTGAGCATAGTTTAAACACACATGAATTCTATCTCAGCAAAACAGAGCTGTTTTCCCTTTGACTTTGTTCTTAGAGAGTATGTGAGATGATTGTGTTTCAAACAAACAAACAAACATGGTTTTCAGTTTTTAACATTCTTAGCATATCTTTCAAAGATTTGTTTTATTTATATGGCTGAGATTTTTGTGAATTAATTATTTTTGTGGATGCTTGTGATGGATCTGCTTTCTTGAACCTGAACTCTTGATGTATTTTTATTCAGTTCAGGTTCATAAGCTTAGTTCATCACTATATTCTCATAAATGTAAAGGATGCCAGCATATTAATCTTTGTTATAAATAATTAATTACTTTGTGTGAGCCACAGTATCTCACACCTGAACTGTAATTTTTATTCATACCGCAAATAAGGGAAGAGAAATATATTTCATCTAGAGAAAAGACAATTATCTCCAACCCCATGCATTAAGAAGTCATGAGATTTATGCAATAGTAAGTCTTTTTTTTTTTTATTTGTCTTTTGGCTTTAGAGCCTTGAATTCACTTTTCCATGTTTTCTCTACAACCTCAGGGCCTAGAATTGTTGCTATTTAATTGAAATGAAAGCGAAAACGTTTGTTTCTAGCTGTTGAAACTTTCAGCAAAATAAATATCAATAACTTTGATACAGGGATGAAATTTTACAACACTAGAAAAATGAATATTTCTGGGCATGTTTTAATGTACTCCTTCTGCCTTTGCAAAGAAGCTGGCTTTGCTGTATTTCATTATTGATTATTTATTTATTTACTTATAAACTGGACTCTGAAATCCTGGCAGATGTTTATTCCTTTATCTACCAAAGCAGGTAAACATGCTTGAAATGCATCTATTTTTTAGCACTGACTCAGTAGGATTACCTGCTTACTTAAAATTAAGCATTTCTTTAAGACTTTTCTGAGTTTAAAAAGCTGAGTCAGTTACTGTCAAACTTGGGACAGTATAAATCTTAGAGAGATCTTGTTTTTTCTAAATTTGAAACATTAAGCTTTCATTATTTTTCTGTTCTTTCTATCAGTGGTAATAGCATACAATCTCAGCTTTAATGATCAAATTTTCATTAGCATAATGAAAATGGAAAGACCGAATAAGTGCTTGTAAAGTTTAAAAAATGCGTAATCTACTCTGAAATCCAGCTATAAAAGAAAAAAGCTTTGAGATGTTTTGCTTTGCACGTGCAGTGTGCTGTATCCTCCTGTTCTTTGCTGGTGAAGCTGGCATTGCTTTTTTCCACTATTATCAAGCACTAGAGAGGCATTCTGCAATTGGGATTTCAGTTTCGGTTTTGCTTGAAATCTAAATCAGTGATGTCCAAAGAAGCTCTTTAAACTGACCCTGTTATGTCCGCTTCCAGTGCCTGCACTACCTTAGGGCCATCAGGAAAGTGAGTTCAAGGCCCAGTGCTGAAAACTAAACAAGCCTCATCCCATCCCATCTGTAAGGAATAGCTCCCAGCTTTTTACCTGGACAGGATGCTCTTCTGTTGAGTGACTAATGTTTTCCATTAAGCCTTCACTGTCCTCAGTAGTAATGCTGTGCTGCACCTCCCTGCTTGGATATCAAGTACAAATTTTCATCCCCGTGTAGCTTTACAGCAGTATGAATCAAGCTATTTATATTGTGGAGTTGGAAGCAGTGTATGTAGGCAGTACTAAAGCATTACTGTTTAAGGAGAAATATTTAACCTGAGAGTTATAGATTGCCTCTGGATAGATACTCTCTTCTCTTGCCAGCTGCTTCTGCTATCCTAGAACCTCCCTGCAGGAGGGAAACAGAGAGTGTTGTCATGCATAATACAGGAAAAGGTGGGCACGTTGCCACTTGGAGCCATTTCTGCTCTACGTTTCTGGCTGACTACTTAACGTGATTGGAGTTAAATAAAAGAATTAAAAGAATTTGGATAGAATGGCATTTCCAGTAAGTTGTATACAAAGAACTGAAAAACAAGTAATACACTGAAGATTCTTGGGCACACATTGTTGAACACCGGTGATGGAAATACTGTTTCATATCTACTAATTTTGTGTCCAATGATATTTAACTCTTGTGACAACACTGTAATACAGTATCTCAACAGGCAGACGTTCCTGTGAAATACTGACCAACGTACAATATTTTCCATTCCAAAGCACTGTCACCTCACAAGAGGATGCTAATCATGCGCATTTGTTAAGACACTAGCTCTATCCATGAGCTCTATCCTGAAGAGTGTTATGGCAACATATGACTACGTACCCACATTGTATACATCACTGCACAAGTAATGGATACAGCTGTGCTGCTCTATGTGCAAGGGCAAGAGATGACTGAGGAGCTCTGCAGGGAGTTTAGGAAGGCCTGAGAATCCTGTAAAAACAAAAAATCCTGGCCAGCGGTGCTCAGGAGACAGACACCCGGTCAGGTGTAGTGACAGGGAAATTGTTTCCTCTCTTATTCGCCCTCTCTGAAATGAGGGAGTTGAACAGCCTTTTAATGGTACTTTCAAAATGAATGGAAATGAGTTGCATTTTTTTTTTAATTGAATGGATGAGAGAGAATTATTTTACAGGTTTTTTTTTTTAGATGCCTTGAGAAAAACGTTTGTCTCTCTGTGCTGCTGAAGCCTAAGTTTTCATGGAAGTCATTATGAGTGTAGACGCGTGCCTGCCAGTGACCCAGCAGAAGCGACAAGAGAAGTATGACTCCAGCGTTTGTAACTAGCAACGCCTAGGGGAATGCAGATTTGTTGCCATACATGCCAGGAGTCCCTACACTCCCAAATAGCTGTTGAAACTTGGAAGAAGTAGAAGAGGGCATCCTGCCTTTGACTTGTCCCAATCTGCCTTGTCCCTACAGGGACAAGCCCTGTTGCACGTTTCCTCTCTTCCTGTCACACGTTTGACTGTTGAGCGTAAAGAAACAGTTATGAGAGGGAGTCAGAGGCCTTGTTTCTCTTGTTCTCTCACACCACAACTGGAAGTTTGCCTTTCCGTTAGCCCCATAGCAACTGGTGGGAAAGCCAGTACCAGGGGAGAAACATCCTGCTTAGGAATCTAGGGACTCAAAACTTTAGTCTCTCAAGAAATGAGACTTATTTCCTTCACGCAGAGGGCTTATAAGAAAGTTTACTTGAGAGCCTGGGAATATTTTCTCCTTTTACCCTGACACATGCTGTGAAATGCGCACTTGTGAAGTAGCTCTTAGGAGAATTGAAAATAGATTGCTTAAGAGGGTGAAATGTGGGTGGAAGATGTGCTAGGCTAGAGGAAAACCTTAAGGGAATACTAAGGGGTGAGAAAGAATATGAAATGAATGGATTTCTTCTCACAGAGAATATGGAGCCGCTTGATTTTAATCGATTTGGAAACTGCATTTTTACTCAAACGTTCGCTTTCTGAACTGCAGTATTTCGGTGGGCCCTTTGTAGAAATGTGGCCATCTCCAATCCAGACAGAATAACATCAGCATGAATGATAGATGCATCTATGTTTTGTGACTGACTGCAATGATGGCTTCTAATCCTAGCAGCCTCCTGCATGGAGAAGTCAAGAGTCATAGGACAGGCCCTTACTCCCTGTGTGTTATTTGCCTATATGTAAAATGGCCAGGTGTTTTTTAGTGAAAGTGAACTTTTCTGTCAACAGATGTTTATGAATTTTTACGTCAAAACCCTTGGGTGAAGTTTGTGTGAATTTTGTAGACATCATCTCACTGCTAAGTTAATAGTTGGTTTAAAAAGAGAAAAGCATGCTTACCTAAATGAAACAGGAACTCATATGTGCATTGCTTGTGCAATGACTCCAGATGTTCATTAAGAACCTAACAGTGCTTGCTGGGACAGTGCATTCCCAACACAGAGGGAGGAAGGGGAAATTATGTTGCTGCAAGCTTATCAAACAACTTGTAGGCATGCACCTCAGCAACTTCAGTGATTGGAAAAGCTACAGTTCCCTGCCAGTTTGGTAAAACTTGGAACTATGTGGGACCAGGATTTTTACTATTTATAGTATTTCATTGTTTTTCATAGAAAACTTCTCACAAGCTAGTGCCTTCATTGTTTTTCATAGAAAACTTCTCGCAAACTAGTGCCTGTGGATGGCTGAAATCAATTATTTCATCCGTCTTCTGAATGTTTTTCAGAAGAGTTTGAGGTACATATGGGAATAAACTTTTGAAGTAAAGTCCTCTACCTGTGGCTTTAAATTGTGTCTATGTATGTGAATTTGAGGTAGTCAGGTGTCTAATAGTTTGGTTTGTGCATACAGGTGCAGATATTTCCACTTCTTGCATTGTGCATGCAATACTTTAGAGGCCGTCTTTGAACAAATATTTATGAAATGTAGTTTCACTTGATAGTTGCAACTTCTCATCCCTTGTAAAACGACAAAACCTTTTTCTCTCGTGCAGTGTAGCTTGCTTAACGTGTTTTCAGTCATTAAGAGAAATACTCATCTGTAGATGAAATACCATAACAGTTTCTGAAATCACAGTGTGTTCAAGGCCTGGGGATGCCCTAGGGAGGGCCTCAAACCATATTTGTCCCCAATTCCTACATTCCCCTATAAGCCTAGGTGCCCTGCAAGGTCCTTGCAATTCCGGGCACCCGCTTTGGGGAGCTGGAGGAGAGAATCTGCGTTGCTGAACAGAGCCCGCGAGTCCATGCTCCTTGCTCCGCAGGCCCCTGCCATGCCCCCCAGTGCAGGGTGCTCCCCTGTCATAGGATGTCCCCCTAAGTAGGTGACAGAGACTGCGTCCCTCTACTGGTGCGATGACGATGGCCTAAGAACAGTGGCATGTAATTCAAAACAAATACTAGATTAGCAGTTTGCCTCAGTGGTAGTTCTTCCTTTGCCCTCGACCAGCTTCCAGGCATTACCATTTATATGGGACCGTGGCATTACTTGAGCTTCAGTTCTCCTTGACCTTCTCTCATGCCCTCTTCTGCAACTCCATTCTTACACCTCAAGGAGCCTGCTGTGTACATGATGCTTCTGGCTATTATATCATAAAGTAGAAAGAAGAGCAGTGACATTATCTTCCTTTCCCCCCCCCACCCCAAGCCAACTCTTGTTGTTCTGCATTTGCTTCAGAATGATTCAGTTTTAAAGCATACGTGCTTTTTACAAGCTTTGTTTGTTAGACTTGTATACAGCCTGAGAGTTCTTGTATGGTTTCGTTTCTCCTTTTTCTTATTTGACCACACAAGAGTAGGTGTAAGAGCTCTCATTTCTGCAGCATCCAGCACCTTCCTGCATCTCTATTCCATCGCAGCTCTCCCTAGCACTCCACGTTATCTCCTCTTTTGTTCTCTGCTTCTACATCTTGACTTCTTTCTATTTCTGTATTTGTCCTATTTGTAATACACTCAGTGAAGTGGCATGGTTGCAGTTTGTATGAGAGCGCGATTTCATTTTGTTCTGAAACTATCTAATAAACATGTCACGATGGCAAGTTGCTGATTCTAATTCTTTAGTTTTACATTTGCTTTACCAGAGTAAGTCACGTGATAAAAATAAAGGGTATGTTAAATTTTCAAAAAGAGATTGCCAGGTACCATGGCAAAACTATGCAATTGCACACAAGATGTGATTTAGCAAGGACTCTTACTATAGTATGCCATACAGTCAAACTGTTTAGTTCTCTATGGTTGGACCTAAAATATTTTGCATACATCTTTCAGTGTCTAAAAAAAAAAAAAACAGCCCGTTTCAGTTCAGTCATTTAACATTGCAGAAAAAAAATCCATGAAAAAGTCTTAAACTGCCAATGCACTACCTAATGAGGAAAATGGTAATATGCTGATCCCTAATACTTCTGTAATTTGCACTTCTCTTTCTCCAGCTTAAGGTGCTATTAAGAAGTTGTTATCGTCTCTTTGTGCTTGTTCAATAATGTGTGGTGATACTCATGCTCTTTTCAGGATAGGGTGTGGGCCAATGTGGGGAAGAGTTTAAACTGCGTTATTGCCATGGTGGACCGACTGCTTGAAAAAGACAACAGCAGCAGCATTAATGAAGGTGAAAGCGACCCTTCACCAGCAGATCGCAAGACGTCACACACAAGTGGTAAGCAACCAATTTTCATTGACTAGAGTAAATAAAACTGGAAGAAGTCACAGAAAAATGAGATAGAGAAGAGTCAATAGTATCTGATAAAAGCGCTGATAGCAAGGTTTTGCACAGTCCTAGCCTTGAAAGATGGAAGGCGATTTATCAAATTGCATCTCAGTTGTGCACTTAAACTGTTTGCAGTGCTGAATTTTTTGTGCTACATGAAAACCTTATGAAAGTAAGATGCTTTTATTTTGAAGGCTTTTGATATAGGTTAATTTATTTTAGGCTTTATTTGAATATACCATTTTGAGGAAAAAAATTAAGTGCATCTTAACCCATAGGAGACTTGTAAGGAAAGGTAAACGTTTTATTTCAGTGTCATTCTTTTATAAGCCCTTTCACTTTTCTCAAGAGTTACTGAGTTTTGTTTTCTAAATTGCTTAAATTCATTGTTCTGTGAATACAGAAGTTGATATGTATCAGTACTGAATGCTGCATAGGGGATGATTCCATGAGCTGATGTGAAGAAAGCTCTCAGCAGGTCCTTGCCCCCAGTCTTCTGATCTTCCCTACGGGCAGGTTCCTTATTGCTTTCACACAATCTAGATGAGTCAAGATCTGCCTCATACGTCTGAAGAGACTCTTTTGTGCACGTGTATATGCCTGCACACATTGCAACAAATGAGACAGCACCTTGGTGATCAAGTGTACTACTCCAAATGTAAGAAAAGCAGAACCAAACCTTGTGCTACTCCTCAGTAAACAAACAAAACGCAACCAATTTATTTGATGGATTTTTTTCTCCAGTATTTTCTTTTATCTTGTATTTCCCTTTACAGTTTTTTTTTCTTCCAGACTTTCATGACTTAATTTTACTCTAAGGCTTTTGAAGCTGCTAGAACCTGTTTGTAGTACTTTCATATACATGTGGAGTTAAAGCTATTTTTTTTTTGCTATGAATCATTTATGCAGTACTGGTAAATTTATCACACCAGACTTTGGCTGCAAACTTGATTCTTAAAGTAGCTAGTAAGTCAGCATTTCTAGCAATATAAGAGATTTGTGTTGGGATCCTGGAATTTCTATTTTCACTGCTAGATGTGTTGAAGGTTTTTTTAATAGTGGTTTTTTTGGTTTTTTGTTTTTTTTTTTTTCAATGAGTAGTCTAGAGACAGAATATTTCTTATCTGTTTGCTTCTGTGAGTTTGTCGACCAGCAAAGTATCCCTCATGCTAGAGAGAGCTGATCTCATCTGTGTTTCCTATTGATGGCTTGCAGGTGCAAAGTATCGATGCAGTTGTGTGTTTGTTTTTTTTTTTTAAATTATCCGTATTTTTCAGACCTTCCTTAGATGAGAAGGTACAAAATTCTCAACAGTGAGGTAGGAATAGTTGTCGACTTGAAACAGTCTTTAAAAAGTGACCCCAACCTTTCCAATTTTTGATTACGAGAACAAGACCGAGTATTTGTTCCTGTGCCCACATCTCCTCTCTTCCCCTAGATGTTGTTTCACTAGTATTTCTGCTGTTACTGCAAATCCAGAAGGACTGTTGAAAGTGTTTTGCAGGTCAGGTACTATACTTTCATCCAAACTTCTTCCCCCACGTTACTACATTGTGTGTGTGTGTGTGAATACATAGACACACATGGTCTGGTTATAATCAGTATTCCATGTGTCAAGAATCCTTTTAGTTAGGGAATAGGATTTGAGATTGAATTTTGTTTATCCAGTCTGGGGGGAAAAAAGTCATTATTTAGGATTATGCTTTCCTTCATTTTGCATGCTCTCTGTCCATAAAGCAAGAGATTGAAAAGCTCAGCAGCATGAAAGTTTAAAATATAGATTCCTGTTTTTCCTTCAGTCTCTTCAAGCTCTTGAATATCTCCTTTGTGGTTCTATATAAGCCATGATATATATTTAACCAGCACCAGTCCATTTGTGTCTTATGTTCTACTTTGAGTTGTAAAAATAAGAAGGGTGCTCTTAGTTTTGATTCAGGCTCACACTTTACACAGGCAACTGAAATATTGATTAGAACTTTTAGCTCACAAAATCAAAGTACTTCAAGTTGCTTCCTTTTAAGGATTGTAATAAGTGGCCATCAAATAGACTGAAAAATACCACTTGCTAAGCAATAATGGTGATTGTAATGGTTAGAAATTGTAGGAGATATGTTGTGTTCAGCTGAAAAGGTTCTGTTCTGGAGCTGACAGGCCAGGGACACAGAAAAACATCTAGGTGTTATGGCACTAGGATAATTTTTTCTTTTGAATGTGTCCGTGATTTCAGGGTCTTCCCCTAATTCTCCTGAATCAGTGGAAGTGTCCTTCTGAGAGAGCAGAATCGGTACTTCTGCTGAGTTGTGCAGCATCTCATCAAATGTAAAGCGCAGCAGATTTCAGAGAGGTCGTTCTCTTCCTATGTTCTCCTTTTTGTGGAAGGCATCATGTCCTTATTATGATTTCATGCAAGCTGGAATCCTAATGCCTATGTCAGCCTATTGGAATTTCAAGGTCATATAGAAATGGAAAAAGTTTTAAATGGCTTCCTGTTATAGGACTTACTTAAAAGACGGACCTTTCTGAAGATTTGATTGTGTGGCAAAGCTGGTTGCCTAATAGTTTTCTGAAACCATTAACTTTGGGGCCAAAATTTTTCATGTTTCACTCCTGTATGAAGGTATGGTTTTGTATGTTTGTTTTTCTCTCTGCATGACTCTTGAGGGTTTGACAGGCAATGTTGAGGATGCACAGTGAAGCACCTAGACAGAGGTTGAGATGCTAAAGCAGAGTTATGAATTCACCCTTAGTTCTGGTCCATTCTGCATATGAAGCCTGGCTGCATGGGTTCATGGTCTTTTCTTAGATATAAAATCATAACGTGTTCACATGCATAGATACATTTCTAAAATGATAGTATTTTGTGCATACAAATTCATAAGTCAAGTACATACAATTCTCAAACATCATATAAAGGAGAAACTTGAAGTATGTTGTACTTATGCTCAAATTAAGGTTAATACGTAACCTAGCTGAGTAATACAGAAAATATATGACCACAAATAGGTTATTGAATCTGCAACTGCCTCAGCCCCGGAGTTGATCCTAAGAAAAGCCGTGCTGCTTTTTGAAAGAAAAATGGGGCATATTCAGGGATTTGACCAAATTATTGAAAAGTATGCTTTGAAGTATGGGATAAAATGTTTGCTCTTGTTAGTGAACTTGGTTGTTATGATACAGTTATTGTGTAGCATATAACAGAATGAAATAGATGTTAAAGAATGTGTCACATGTTCATTTCAGATGATAGAGAATATGACGATTATTCTTTTAAGCAACAGCATATTCCTATAAGTGTAGATACTGTCTTAATACATGTTCAGAACTTGCTAAGGTAGGTTTATATTTGTGATGGTTTATACAGTGATGAAATTGTATGATTTCCCCCTTCCTCCCCACCTGCTTCCGACAGGCTTGCTTATTGTATTGAAACTTTGAAATCTGAGATATCAGCAACACCTTTTCCATTGTACTTACCTTTCAACATGAATTATATCCTCAGCCTAATTTTCATGCAGTCTGACCTTTGAGTGTATACTTTGGGCTGAATTTGAGTTTGAGTTCTCAGTTACCAAGGTAACATGGTGTGTTTCATCAGTTGCAGGATTATGATCCCTCTGCAGGGTAAATCAGGAGGAGTAGATGGATTTTAAAGGAGAGCTTTTTTTCCCCGAAGACTGATTTCCTTTGGACAATTATTTCACAGCATTAAAACAACATTTTCATCCCTTCATTTTTTCTGTTGCCCAGCCATTCTTTTACTTGTTCTCTTTGTGGGAGTACTCCCTAATTTTCTGCAAGCAAATTTCACCGAGTTATGTCACACAGCTTCAGCTGGCAATATGGTTTCACCTGGGTTTTGCCTGAAGCGGCTTATAGAATTGTAAACTTTACCATTGGGCAGATGAACGGCCCAACAGTAACCTTCAGTGCAGGTAGTAAAGAGCTCTTGGGGAATGGTGCCAGATTTCCTAGCTGAAATGAAGTAAAACAACTGTTCATAGCCACATTTCTATAGGGATATGTGAGTTATTTTTTCTTAAATAATCCTATCCCTGATGGAGAGACTGCAATTCTGGATGAAACCCTTCTGTATTTCAATACCCTGGGGAACTGCATACATCCAAATGTAATTGGTGGTGAAAATGCAAAATAAAGCTGTATTATAGTTTTGTTTGCATCTTCAGAAAATGATCTTTTACTGTGAAGTTATCATTTAGTGAGGTGGAGATGAAAGATTCTCACTTAAAGTATGTGTTGCCTGTTTAGCAGACTTTACTTGCTTTGAGGAAACAAAAACAGTTCTGCAAAACTTTCTCTTCTCTTCTTTGTCCTCACATTTTTCTTTCCTGACCTCTTAAACCTGTCTGTGCGTCATCTTTATTTCCAAAATTTGATGAGTCTCACCTATTTCCATGCATTTTTCCCTACGTTGTCTTTCTATCCCCCTCTCACTTTTGTATCCTCCTTTCTTTTTGATAGGTTCATTTATTGGGCTATATGTAACCCAGAACATAAGACTTGCCACTTCTGTCTTTCTCTTAAGTGATTCAGGTATTGACAGAGGCTTAATGACTTCTAATGTGAAAGGGAAAGGAAGACCATTTAATTGAATCAACAAATTATTCTGTAAACAAGGCATCAGAACATCAAGTTTCACAACGCTTCTATAATAAGGTTTATCCATTACCCCTGTCTTTTGAGTATATTAGATTCGCCTTACCTTATATCTGTTGTTGCCATCAGCCGCCTTTTTCTGTTTCCACTTTAACCAAAGTTGCTGAGACATTTGTGTATACATGATTCAGTAGTTTCAATTTTCACCCTCAACTAGTGTGATCATATTTAAAATCTCAGATAATTATTATGGAATAATAAATCTTCAAGAATTCAAAATTGTTCCTCCTGACACCAAAGCTGTGCAGTCAAAGTAAACCAATGTTGTATTAACT